TATGAAAGGGAGGTTTTATGAAAGACTTTGCTCCTTTGCTCTGTGTTGTAAGGTTTGTTTTCTTCTGGCAGGGGGGCTGCCCTGGGAAAGATCGATTCGAGGTAGTCTGTACAACAGTCCAGTCTACCACTGTAATTAAATCTGCATGTGTTTTGTTTAAGAAAAAGATCATGCGGAGACGGAAACGCTTCTTATAACCCAGCTGGTTCCAAGGGCACCAAAATGATGCGCTGCCACGGAGCAGCCCTGCAAAGCTCAAGCGAGCCTGCCTTCAGGAGGCCTGCCTGAATTGGCGTGGCCCTCTCGTCGGGATGGGACCAAACCCTTTGAAGCAGTATCTTCCATTTATCAGTACCCCGCAGATGGCCCAGCCCCGGGCAGCACGTAAGCCCATGCTTTGCTTCAAGTCACTGGTGTAAGCATTTTCCTGACCGGGACTGCTGGGCAGAGTCAGGGTTGACTGGTCCAACGCCAGCCTGTCCTGGCTCCAGACCTCCTCTTCCCCAGCCTGCCTTGGGAGTGGTGGCTTCTGTCATGACACTCTTACTTTGCAGGGCCTGTGGTTGCTTTCCTCATTTATTGACATGGCCATGTCCTCGTCTAGAGCTGCTCGCTCTGCCTGTGGCTGCACGAAGAGCCCCGCGGCGGGACAGGAGCACTGGGTCAGCGAGTGCAGATGCAGCTCTGCCCACAAAGCTTGCCGGGAAGCACCAGAGCCTGCGACAGAGCCGCTCTGCCAGGGTAAAGTGCAGGCACCGGGGGCTTTTGGGGGCACAGGTGACCCCTGTAGCATGCCCATGGCCTCTGTAGCAATTGGGCTTTGTGCTGCAGCCCCTTTCAGCAGACTCCTGTTGTGTTTCCAGGTCAGGAAGCCCTGCTGGCAGCACAGTCTTAGCTGAAGCCTTCTCTCCCCTTTCTCCTTACCTGCCTGCCCCTCCTTGCATTGGCAGCTCCTTGCATTTTGGCTGCTTGTGACTGCAGTGTGACGGCCCCTCTCAGCCCCCTCTGCGTTGGCTTGTTAGGACAGTGCCAGGACTGGGTCTCAAGGGCTCTGTGGCCAGGCCTTGCTAGAAGGGCAGCATGGGGTTGATGGCAGGCGAGTCCCTTGTCTTTTGTAGCTACAGTCCTGAAAATAAAGACATTTATTTTCCCCTTGCAGTTCTCTGGGGTCCCCTGGGCCTGCCGTGCATGGTTTCCCCACTGTGCCACCTCCTAGCTCCCTCCCTGCGCCCAGATGCAGCCCTCTCCACCCCTGCCTGTGCCAGGCTCCCACTAGCAGTAACTATACATACTTCCCTCTAGCTGTTCCCTTAGTAGTTGAGGTATATGAGTCCCTTGCCCTTGGGGGGGATGCAGCCTGGGCTCATTCTCTTTAATCAAAGCAGATCCCTGTGGTGCAAAATAAAATCTAAGAGTCATTGCAACAACTTGTTAATCCAGAAGCTGCTTCATGCTGCCACATCCCCCATGCACGGTGCTGTCACACTGCCAGGTCCTGCTGTCACTCAAGCAAGCCCCTCGCTTGCCTCCTGCACTCTAGGACCACATCCCTGAGGGCAGAGAGAGATGGGTAAGACCTGCTTGCAGGAGCAGCCTCCGCGTTTTGTGTGGAATCATCATTAAGGGCAGGGGGACCATGACACCATCTCGTCGGCTGTGGAAAGCGCTGGCTGCTAGGTGTCATGTGGACAATCCTGTATTAAGCCTAAAGGCTTTTGATGAAAATGTTCTATCTTTGGGAGACTGGATGTGGGCAAAGGACAGGGGAGACCAAGCGGCTTTCAGCCCCTTGCCCTGGCAGAGAGCTGGTTAGTAGGCTGTGCCCAGCGATCCCAGGTGAACCACACCTCGGGCTGCAGAGAGGGATGCGGGCAGTATTTCTTCCCAAACTCTCATCTGGCCATTGGCATGTGGCCTCTGCATGGGAGCAAAGCAGATTGCTTGGGCATCTCGGCACCCCCCTGGAGCACAGACCCACTCTGTCCCATGCCCTGCTGGCAGCTGGGCTTAATGTCTGGTTCTTCAAGAGATGGCGATAAGCAGAAGCAAACATACAAACACCCTCTCCTCTGATAATACATCATGATCTAGCCCGGTGGTGCTCAGCTTCGAGCCCTGGAAGCTATGTCATCTCCCCACGGGCCTGGAAATTTGGCGGCAGGGGACCAGTAGCAGCATAGTTGCTCGCAGAGCCACGGCAATTAATGCTGCCACCACTCCTACCCTACCAAGTTTCCAGACCTGGGCTGGATGATTTGACCCCACACATGGGCCCTCTGCAGCCAGATCCAGTGCATAGGATTGGGCTGGCATGCTGGGTTGTGACCAGCCCCGTGCCGGATCTGGCCTGCGGACCAACCCTGTGCCACTCATTTGGCTCACAGGCCCGAGTGGCTGAGCGCTGCCCATTCACCAGTTGTGCAGCGGGCAAAAAAATCCTTCCTAATGCTAGGGACTGTGTGACAATCTTAGTTTCCCCTTCAAAGGGACAATTACCAGCCTTCCTGCTTGTGCAAAGATGCAGTGAGCGTGTCCTATAGGCAGAGAACCCAGGAGACAAAGAAAAGACTCCTAGATATGCTGCTTTTTAAAAACCTCATGATTTTTCTATGCCAGCTTCACAGTATTTGGAGGCCCGACCCATGACTGCTTGAGCAGCAGGGGTTTCCTTCACACTATGCTTGCTTGAATAGCATTGCTTACCCAGTAAGCTGAATTTGTGCCTCAGAGGGCACGTCCCATTTGCAGGGCCCCTGGGAAACCATGCACGGAGGCAGGCCGCCTGGCTCCATGGGTCTTTGACGCTAGAGATTCAGTGGCAGAGTTCGACACTTGCAGTCTTGTCATGAGCCAGGAGCAGCCTCCGCCACATCTTATTAAATTGTCTCTTTCCAGCTCATTCCCCTTTCTCATCTGTTTTCCCATCGGGCGTTTGCAGGCAAGGTGCCTTGCGCTGTCGAGGGAAGAGGCAGACAAGCTTTCTCTCTCGAGATTGATGCGAATGCTTCACGTGGCTGGAAAAGCCACATCACAGAAGAAGCTGTCCGAGCTCTGTCATTTCTCTAATTGAATTAGTTTTCACAGCCTCAGCGGTTCCCTGTTCCACCGCCCGGGCCCCTTGTGTATCAGCGGGATGAGCTGTTCGTACCGCTCCACCTCGGGGAGGCAAGCGGGGGAGACTTAAAGGATGATGGAGAGCTAGAGTTAAATGGTTCCCTCATACCTACCTTTTTCCACCTTCTTAGCATGACTGTTGTGATTTCAGGCTATCAGAGGCAATTCTGCTGTCCTGCAGCTTCCCTCTGGGTGCTGACACTTTGCTCGGGGTCAGCTGAGTTACTGCGTGCGGGGAGACGGTGAACGCTTGCTTATCCTTCTGAGCATGTCTACGCGTGCTTTTACATTCGCCTAAACTTAATGCACATTTGCCTAATGCACATTAAGGTGATTTAGGCGCACGTCTACATGTGCACACGCTAAGGCATATTAATGCAGTGTGCGGACTGACTTGGGACTAAAGTTAGTAGTCCCAAGCCAGTTGACATACAGCGTTAATGCGCCTTAATGTGTTTATATGTGCATTAAGGTGCTTTAGCTATTCATGGTTAAATTTGATACCTGCATGGGTGACTGGTGCCTCCCGAGTCGGGGGGGGCGGGGGCACCAGATCACTGACTGGGGGGGTCCCTAGCGGATGATCACCAACCCGGGGTGGGGAGCAGTGGCCGATCGCTGAGCCCAACATCACCAGCAGCAAAACGGGAAGTGCACCTCTGCCGGCACTTCTGGTTTCGTGGCTGACGTTTTCAGGGGGTGCATGTGCATCTGCATGCACATGCTACGCGTCGCAATGGATACCTGCTTTTGCAGGTATCAAATTTAGGTGTGGATAGCTTAAAATCACCAGTTTTAAGGCGCATTAAGGGCACACAGGTAGACCTGTGCCCTTAATGTGCCTTAAAAATGGTTAATGTGCCTTAAATTGGCATGTGTAGATGTGCCCAGTGTTGGGTTTTGTTTCATCCCCTCTCCCCCTTCTCGTTTTCATCCCTTTTTTGTTCAGTAATAACATTCCCTGTCTCTCTTCCTGGAGATCTGGATCTGGCTGTAAATTTCCAAAGCCATCCAAGGGGTTGAGATGTTCGAAAATCTCATACTTGAGCCTTCAAAAACCACTTCTCCTATACTTAAGTGTCCTGTGAAATTTTGAACCCCCCCTATGTCACATTGCTCACTGTAGGAGTAACCCCTTCCTTCTCATTTATTGTCTGACAAATAAATTGAGCTCTTCTTCCTTTGCGAAGAAGTCAGTTTGTTCCTGATGAGACACCGCCGCGCTGCGTCATTTCGGTGCGTGGAGCAAACGGCTCTACATCAAGCGCATGAGCTGACATGCCAAGTCCGTTCCCGACACACTCTAAGCCTAGGCTTTTTTTTTTTTTTGGTGAGCATTTAGGAAACAGGCTAATATTTTCCAGGTGTAAAAACGAATGCTTTGATTCACTATAATTGTAAAGGGAACAAGAGAAAGTTGAACACGGAGCATTTAGAGCTGAAGGAATCTTAAAGGCGCAGTATCTCCGGCAGCTGCGAGACTCGCAGCAGCAAGCAGGGCAACTTTGGGAGCGTGGTTGGTTCTCGGTGTCGGGGAAACGCCGTTGGACTCTGAAGTCGTCCGCTGTGTGAATCCTGCTTCTGTGTCTGAACGCCCCGAGAGCTCCAAATGAAGTATAATTTTAATTCCTTTCCATCATTTGCAATTAAATCCGCAACAGAGAGCGAGGAGGAGAGAGAAGTGAGAGAGGGAAAGGTTTCCAAAATAGCTTAAGAACTCAGGCAGCAGAGCTCATTAGAGCAGACACAGTGGCATTGTTTTAAGCTATTCAAGACATTACAAGCCTTTCAGTTCTCAGCAGCCGCTAACAAAGGCCTTTGATTGCAATCCTTCCACTTTCATAGAAGCCATTAAGCCCTAATGTCTAATGTTTTTGTGCTTTTAGGCATTCGTATGTTAGATGGAGATGTAACAGATGTTGTCGAAGCGAAGTCGCTTGGCATCAGACCCGATCACATTGACATTTACAGCGCGAGCTGGGGGCCAGATGATGATGGGAAGACAGTTGATGGACCCGGTCCGTTGGCCAGACAGGCTTTTGAGCATGGCATTAAAAAGGTGTGACTCTTTGAGTGCCTTGGAGACACTCGGGTTTTGTTTTTTTGTTGGGGGTTTTTTTTGCCCTTTTGCTCCCTGTGAAGTTGAAGCGTGTGTGTGCGTGTGTGCGAGAGAGAGGCGGGGGGGAGGGGAGCCTGGGCAGAACTGAGATGAAAAGCACCCAAAGACTGGAGAGGGGAGAGTGTTGTTATGAGGTGGGAACAAAAATCCCCAAGCCCTGCCGGCAGCAAAACTTCCCTCACTGCCCTCGCCCGGGGAGCTTTCCTGGAGGAGACTCATGTCTGTTTTCCCCTCGTGTAGGCTGAGCCAGGGCGATGCCATTGTCGAGAGCTCGAGCTGGCGTCTAGCTACGACCACCCAGGGCGTTGCATCTGCCACGCGAATCCCTTTAGTCCTGCCCCCGGCACACGCTCACAACTGCAGTTTGGAGGCATTCATATTGCTGGGTCGGCTGATGTGGCTTGTGGATAAAAGAGCGGGCGTGCTCGCAGACCCACTCCCCGGCAGCAGGAAGCTCCATTTTTGATGCTTACCATTGCAGCTGCTCTGGGCATGTTCTTCCCATGTTCAGGCTTTCCCCGTGCACGGATCGGTATCAGCATAAATCAGGACAACCCCGTTGCTTCGGGCTGGGAGGATCCCTGAGGAAAGAGGCCAGCCTTAACCTCGCAGCAGGCTCGGGGGCTGTGGCTCCAGTGAGGGAGGTTCATCCCAAGGTCTAATTCCAAATTGTAACTGGAAGCTGGGTTAAGAAATCGAATGCGTTGCAAGGGAGAGGATATTTTATTACTGCTGTTTAATTAGATTTATTTTCCCAGGGGTCAGGGGTAGGATGTCTGTCTTCCTGTTGTTGCACTAAGGATGAGCCACCTACTCCCTCCCTGCCCCAGCTCATTGTCCCCTCACCCTTGAATCTTACATGACAGCAGACAACCAGCGCTGCCAGTTTGCGGGTGCAAGGAGATTCAGTACTCCCAAGCCAGGTCATGGGGTTGGCTGGTGTTGGGATTGCTGTTGTGGCATTGTGTCCCTTCTCCCTCTCTTGCCTCCCGCGGGTCAGTGTACTCCATCTTGGCACTGGGCATCAAGACCTGCAGGTTTGTGCAGGGCACCTCAGTGGATACATATGCGAGGCATGAGGGCAAGCTCCTGCCTGACCCCCTGTCCTCTCTGATAGCAATCAGAGCATGCCCTGGAGCATGGGGATGGCTCATCCCTTTCCCATAACCCTGCGGATGGCTCATCCCTTTCCCATAACCCTGTGGATGGCTCATCCCTTTCCCATACCCCTGGCTAGTGTGACAGCAAGCCCCTCTCATGTAATGGTCTCATTCTTTCTTGTCTTTAATCTTACCAAGCTCCTAATATTTATCCTCAGTGGCTTTGACAGGTTATTCCTACCCTGCTTAAAGGAGTGCCCTTTGTCCATCTCAAATTTGTTCCCATCTAAATTCGTTGAGTGACCTCTGGCAGGGAGTAGACAGGACCTTCCAGCTGTCTGTCCCTGTCTCCTTTCTCTTTGTACCGACCCTCCCTGCCCAGCCTTGCTACCTGTCTGGAATATTCCTGTTTGCGCTGCATCTCTTTGGAGCCGGCGTGGCCCAAGTGCAATGCATTACCGAAGGTCAGTTAGGTGGTTGCTTTACAGTGTCCTTGTACTTCTCTGTTCCCTCTCTGATTGCTGATACAGCCTACCACCATAGCTGGTGTTTCAGCAGCTTCCCTGCACTGCATGCAGCAGTCAGGTCTTCTCAGCCATGTCTACATCGTTTCTGGTAGCTGGGTAAAAGGCTGTCTGGGAGTGTAGGGCTCGATGGTTGAGGAGGCTCCTTCTACTCCTATGCCCCTCACTAATTCAGGACCCATTACTATGTGGGAAGAGTTGCAAAGAGTCACAGATCCAGCATAGGTGTGTGCCCAGACACTGCCCAGTTGGTCATGATGCATAGCACGGTAGAGACCAACGGCTCCAGGCAAGATGGGGTCTGTTGGCCTAGCCACTGTATAAAGACACAGTAAAGATTGACTTCTAGCCCCAGAGAGTTTTCTAATTGGGAGCAAGTAGTACCATGCAACAAGAGCTGGGAGCAAACGATGAGAGAGTTGCAGGCTACGGCAAGCTTTTGAATTTTTGCTGGACCAAGCCCTGTCTTCTGCTGTGGTGCTTTCTGAAAAGCCAGCTCTGAGTTTTGGAAGGGGTGCTATTGCAGCATGTATGATGCCAGCCTGCATAGGGAAAAGACCTTCCTTCAGAAATCGCAACCCCTTTTCAAGCACAGCTTAGCGCGTGACCATGGTTCGGTATCTCAGGCTTTGTGCATGTCCTGGTGCCGTCCCTCGAAGAGGTACAGCCGGTTCAGATTGGACTGGTCAGACTTGTCCTGGCTGTCTGAAATCCTGAAGCCAGCTGTTTGGCTTTGGCGGTCAGCACGGAGTAAAATATGCTCCCTGGGGAACTTTAAATTGCAGATGTCTGTTGCGAACTCTCCTGCGACTTTGAGGGCAAGCCACACCTCTTCCTCCATGCGCACTTTGGCATCTTCTCTTCATTTTTCTTTTTGCAACTTAAGAATTATTTCAGGGGATCTTGAGGGGAGGAGGGCGAAGGGTTGAGAAAAAAGTCCTGTTGTGGCACCGGCCCCTCCTTGACAGGGTGTCATTATCGGGTAATGCTGCGTGCTTACAGATTTAGCTGTGCTAGGTGGGATGAAACATTGCCGTTTGCCAGCATCCTCCGCATGCTGTGATTAGTATCATTTTGGGTTTGGGGTTTTTTGTGTTAGCAACAACACACCTGGGATGACCTCCAGCTCAAGACACGGGCATTCAGACCCCGAATTAGAGCGCAAGGAAAGGTGATCTCAGCTGCACTCCCCAAACCCACACGGCAGTCTCCTGCTGATGTACGAACAAATTGCAGAGTTGCAGGGTGGACGCTCCATCCTTAAATAACCCCATCAGATGAAGCATCTCAGTCAGTGCAGGAGGCCCCATGGGGAAGGACAGCACCACGAGGCAGGATGTCTTGGTCTTGAGAGCTCCGGCTGATCCGCTGGGACCCACAGCAAATTCCAGCCTCACTCGGGCCTCGGTTTCCCCATCTGTGAAATGGGGATGGGAGCTCCCTGGCTTTGCAAAGCTCTTTGAGAGTTTGGGATGGCAAGTGAGGCATAAACGGAAAGTGTGGTTCCCGAAGTCAGAGCTGTTGCACCACAGGCCCTGAACATACCCTGGACAGCTTGAATATTATCTAAAAATAAGGTGTAGGGGGGTTTCCCCCTATTTATTTAATTTCCTGTAGGTAGTCTGAGGAGAAATTCATTGAAGGGCAAGGGAGTTCACTTAATGTAAATACAGAGAAGCTGGGAACCAGACATCTCTTTAGGTCTTATCCACAGGGACATGGCATACCTAAGTTGGCTCCAGCAGCTGATCAGAGCGCCTGGCATTTGGATGGCTTTAGTGTGCGGAGATCTCCATCACACACATCCTCTGGCGCTCAGGTGTTGTCCCAATAGCCGCGCCTGCTGCTTTTACTCAAATCGCAACCCCTCCGGTCCGGTCCTTCCACAAGCGTCTCCCTGCCGGTCCCCACTCCAGCAGAGGGACCTTGCAAAGGGAAAGGCCCAGGCTTCGTCTTCCTGGGTTCCCTGAGATTGTCCTTTTGGGAGGATGGGAAGTGAGGCAGATGCGTGAGGAAGGGATTTGTACCTGCTACAAATGTTGAATGGTGAGAAGAACTAGGCGTCGGGGCCCTCGCATCCCTCCCTTTCCACCTCCACCAGTGTCTTGTGCATCCCTTTCTTTCTCCTCCCTGCAATCCCCTCTGGCCATGCCTGAGGCTCTGTGTGTGTGTGTGTGCATGCATGTGTGCACACATATCCTTCATACCTCAACTACCTTATGCCGGGGTCTGCTCCGTGCTCCGCCTGACTGTGCTGGGACTGTGTGGCCCTTCCCGGCCTCCGTCACCACATGGCTCTGTTTTCCCCTTCATCACATACCAGGTCCCTTCATTTTCTGCCTTGCCACAGGTTCTCTCGGTATCAGCATAAATCAGGACAACCCCGTTGCTTCGGGCTGGGAGGATCCCTGAGGAAAGAGGCCAGCCTTAACCTCGCAGCAGGCTCGGGGGCTGTGGCTCCAGTGAGGGAGGTTCATCCCAAGGTCTAATTCCAAATTGTAACTGGAAGCTGGGTTAAGAAATCGAATGCGTTGCAAGGGAGAGGATATTTTATTACTGCTGTTTAATTAGATTTATTTTCCCAGGGGTCAGGGGTAGGATGTCTGTCTTCCTGTTGTTGCACTAAGGATGAGCCACCTACTCCCTCCCTGCCCCAGCTCATTGTCCCCTCACCCTTGAATCTTACATGACAGCAGACAACCAGCGCTGCCAGTTTGCGGGTGCAAGGAGATTCAGTACTCCCAAGCCAGGTCATGGGGTTGGCTGGTGTTGGGATTGCTGTTGTGGCATTGTGTCCCTTCTCCCTCTCTTGCCTCCCGCGGGTCAGTGTACTCCATCTTGGCACTGGGCATCAAGACCTGCAGGTTTGTGCAGGGCACCTCAGTGGATACATATGCGAGGCATGAGGGCAAGCTCCTGCCTGACCCCCTGTCCTCTCTGATAGCAATCAGAGCATGCCCTGGAGCATGGGGATGGCTCATCCCTTTCCCATAACCCTGTGGATGGCTCATCCCTTTCCCATACCCCTGGCTAGTGTGACAGCAAGCCCCTCTCATGTAATGGTCTCATTCTTTCTTGTCTTTAATCTTACCAAGCTCCTAATATTTATCCTCAGTGGCTTTGACAGGTTATTCCTACCCTGCTTAAAGGAGTGCCCTTTGTCCATCTCAAATTTGTTCCCATCTAAATTCGTTGAGTGACCTCTGGCAGGGAGTAGACAGGACCTTCCAGCTGTCTGTCCCTGTCTCCTTTCTCTTTGTACCGACCCTCCCTGCCCAGCCTTGCTACCTGTCTGGAATATTCCTGTTTGCGCTGC